GCTTCAGACGTCATGTCACTGAAAGCTTCGAGGTGACTTGCTTTGATGGATAGGCAGACGAAAACTAGTCTACAGCCTTTGTATCCTCTTCCTTTGGTGGCTCTAATTTGAATGGGCCTTGCATAGTCTACTCCCGAATTCATAAACGGAGATACCTACTGGTGTAACTCTAGCTTGCGGTAATTGTCTCATCAGTTGCTCTGCTGTTCTTGCTTTGTGTCGGATGCACAAAATGCAGTTTTTCATTATTGCTTTCACTGCTCGCTTTCCATTAATGACCCAGAATTAGCTTTTTACGTATGACAATGTGGCTTGATTGCCCCAATGAAGAGTCTTTTTGTGGGTGTCTGCGATTATCAATTTGGTGACATGACTATGATAGGGTATGATCGTCGGATGTTTTTGATCGTAAGTTAGTGATGCATTCTCCAAACTTCCTCTAATACGAATTATGCCTTTATGGTCAAGAAACGAATTTAGAGACTTCAGCTTGCTAGTTTTCTCTATTGTGCCATTTCGTTTTAATGCCTTGTATTCCAGAGGAAACTCTTGCATCTGCACTAATTTTATGATTTTAGTGAAGGTTGCGTGTATCTCTTCTACAGACAAGATTGGATTTTCTTTTCTGTTTGCGATAGTACTCCTAGCATCCTTGTCAGGTCTGAAAATCGTTTCGATGTATCATTTGTTATGACGACTTCGATTTTGTGGCACGCAGTTCTGATTTCTACTGTAACTTCTGGATTTTCTTCTGTAACTGGTAGACTGCTAGATCGGTTTAACCATTGCGGTACTTTTCACCGCAGTTCAGCTGATTGTAGTTTGTCGAGGTCCAATCCCTGTGATACGATATCTGCTGGATTTTCCTGTGATTTGACGTGATTCCAATGATTCCATGATATCTTGGTTTTTTCTATGAGCTTGGAGAGGAGAACGGCAGCGCATAGTTCTAGCTGAAGTTGTTCTTGCTCTTGTTGGGGCGACTTTGGACTTATCTTGCAGGAGCGTGACAATTTGGGCTTCTTCACAGGGATGCTATTTCTAGTACAATTGTACTAGATCTAGCACAATGACGTTTCACCTAGTAGGCTAGTACCTCTCTCATAAATCTAGTACAATTTGGATTACGAGTCGAGTGTCGCTCTTCGCTCTGTACCGTATTCGAATTCTGAGCTCTACTCTCTACTTGTGGGTTGGGTTCCACGTTCCAGGTCCCACTTTGATGCGGCTAAAACCAAACAAGAAATTGGCGTTTCAAATATGGTTTCGAACACACACGCACATTTTTATTCTGTCTTTATTCTCTCCATAGAATTCTTTGGAATTGTTGATCTTCTCGATGCACTAATATTGGTCTGTACATTTTCTCAATATCAGCGCAGAATACAAATTTATGTTTTCTTCAACGAACCAATATGTCGGCGACATTCTGCTGCAATCTAGGGCAAACGTGCATTATATCGTTGAGGCTAGTGCCATTGGAGCTTTGGCAGGATGTATCAAATACTACTCTCAAACGATTGGTTGTGCTCGATTCTTGGATAACTGCGTGATAAGCAATGTTATATTTTCCTTGATTTATTTCATGTCTTGTTACTTTTCTCATGTGTCCAAGGTTGAGGCATTCCTTTATAGAGTTGGCATACTGCTCGTGTAAGTTGGCGTCTACTTGGAATTTCTTTTCGATGTTTGCAAGTCGTGCTGCAGCTCTTGGCTTTAAGTATCACAATATTTCTGGAAATATTTTGAATGGAATACGAACTGCGAATCTACCATTCCTCTCTCGGGTTGTCGTTTGATCGTAAAACTCTTCATAAGCTTGTTCTTCTTCCGTAAATTGATGAGTTGGAGTAACTTTTTCGATCTCCCAGAATTTCGTCAACTGTTTGTCTTCTCCATTTTGAGCAATCATGCTGACGACTTCAGTATTCTGGGATGTTGAAAATACTGGACCAGATATAATCCATCCTAGCTCGGTATTTTGTTTCAAGAGACCCTCTTGAGTCTTCTGGAGATTATCCAAAATTATTATGGCGTATTCTCATGCTCCGAAAACTCCATCTATAGATCCAGGTATCATAAAGGTAGGATCTGCTAGAACTTTATCTTTTTATGCTTTTTATGTGTTGAGGTTGCCTTGGCATGGACTGGGTTAACTTTTGAAGAACTATCATGCTGACCTTCATGTAGAACGTACTTTTGAATCGTGGTGTAATATAAGTATCTATTTACCATTTTGAGATCTTGGGCTCTCCATCTTTCACGCCAGATATCTCAGCTCTAATATGACGTCGTAGAAGCCCTAAGCGTTGTGCTGCTTCTTCGGTGATAAAGGATGATTGTGATCCTTGGTCAATCAAGATTCTTTAAGTTTGAACTTGTACGAGAGCTGTTGCTAGTGAAACATTTTCTTCCTATTGGCTTGCATGGTTTGTCGTAGTGTTTCGTTGCTGTTCAAATTGCTCGCCTGTTCTTCTTTCGTAGCTATTCTGCGGGGCTCTATTTTGACTATTGCCATTCGAAGCGGAATTTTTTCGTTGATAATCGTTTGTTCGTTGCTGATTTTGTTGATATCTATCAACATGCAAACGTGTGTGATGTTGATGGCTACAAATCTAACATTTTGTTTGGATGAAGCATTTCTTCTGAATATTGTGGCTTATACAGTTTCGGCAGATGTGCTTCTCCTGCACCCATTTGTCTCTCTCTTTTGGTGACATGACTTTAAACTTTGGTCGTGACAGTACAAGCACTTTGACTGACTGGATTTGTTTTCCGTGGTGGACACTGTTTCTAATGATTGAAACCTCCTTGCTAAGAAATTCATAAATTCTGGTACGTCATGCGGTGCTTGAAGACTCGGCCCCATGCATCAGTTTCTATCTCAAAATTCTTCAAAGCTTGCAGGCTCTCGCTAGTGACGTATAATTGTTTCAACTTCATTGCAATTTCTTCGGGAATGGTTGGCAAGTCCAATAATTTATCCAGATCTTGAAGATGAGTAGTCTCTTGTTCTTAAACTGTTTCTGTAATAATTCCTATCCTGAATCGTAATTAACTTCGATTGCTTCTATATCCTGTTCACAATCCGATGTCCACAGGTGCTGGTAAATTTATCACCTTTCCCTATCAAATAGCATTGAAAGGTGATAAATTTTACCGGTACCAATGGACATCGGATTGTGAACGGATATTAGATAATGGATCAGTTTGCTTGCTTCTCTTCATACGTGCGTTTTTAAATACCGAATTTTTTCGGCTTTAGTCATCAAGTGACTCTCATGGATTACTCTTCTAAAAAGATCGTGAAATATAGACCAATTCTCATATCCTACATGGAAAGTGGCAATCGAAATCTTGGGAATTGCCAGATGTTGATGCTGTTGATTTACCATTACTTAAGGGACTGGAGTAAGTGCGTCTTCTTGTATTCTGATTGTTAGTTTTTCAGTGATATCTTCGTACTGCTGCTGCATTTCATTGTATGGATTTTTATGAAATATTCATTCTGAAATATATCTTCAGATATCATTATTTCTTCATATAGGTCTTGGATGGCGCTCCATTATTTTCTAATTTTTTTCCAGCTGTAGCTGATAGCGAGACTTCGATTTTTTTTTCAATTAGCTCGAATTCGATCCGGTTTGAATCTCCTTCTAGCTGTTGAAGTTTTAAGTTCTGCTATTTCAAACCTTGATCTTTAATGGTGTTTGTTGAAGTCTGACCTTGACTGAGCAGGTGGTTGATCGGTTGTAGCTTTTGTACAGTTTTTCAAGTAATTCTTCGCTTCTTCATATTTATCCTTTAACTGTTGAAAGGAGTTTTTGCTGGAGTATGGACGAACTTTTTTACTGGATGGACGGGGGGACGTAGTTGTCTCTTGGGTTCTTACGAACAGGCGGACGAAGTTGATCTGTTCTGGACGGATTGTGTGGACGGAATTTCTTTGGTCGAACGGCTGTTTGATCGGACAGACGTTTGGTCAGACGGTCGTTTGGTGGATGAATTTTTCTTTCCTTGTAAAAAGTAATTTCATAGATAATTCAGTGATCTTCAGTTTTTTGTTTTACAAATTTCAGAAACCACTCAACTTCACATTTATTGGAATTTCTCCTTCAATGCCTATTTAATCATTGTTTCCATTTGAATCTTCTGTGACAAACATCACATTCAAAATGATATTTACCTGAATTCGTTACAATGCTTCCCCTTTAAATTTTTTATGACAAGTATCGCATTTAAATGCATAATTATCCGGATGCGAAATTAAATGCTGATTAAAATTTACTTTCCGTTTGAATTTTCCGTGACAAATATTACATTCAAATAAACGTTCATTTTGTATGCGATAGTAAATGGTTTTTAATGCAGGTTTATAATAAAATTTCCCCAAAATTCCATATGATTTCTCTCTCTATTCAGTTTTTTTTTAAAATTAATATACAAAATATTTATCCTCTTTTATAAAAAAATGATTTATGCCGGATAAAATATCGAAATTTTCGCAATGTCATCTTCTGAAGTAATATGATTTAAGCTGGAGTGAAAATTTCAATAAACCATGAAAGGACCTTTGAAAAAAATCGAATTTTAAATGTAAGCAACAAGTACCTACACTAATTACTCCCTAGCTGGTTTAAAATCCCTTCTGCGGAGAGCTTTCCCATTTATAGAATCGCCGATATTAACAATTTAATCTCATGGAACAATTTTAAACTCATACAATTCCAAAATTTCCAGAGGGAAATACATTGAGCGAGTTTGAGGCAAAAAATATAGCGTATAATTATTTTGCAACCAGGAGTTTTAGATTTCAAAACGATTTTTTTTTCCAAAAGCAGTTACTGCTATACCAACGAAAGCCATAGACAGAATTTGATTTAAAAATTTGGTAAAACAATATTGAAGTGCTGTATGCTAAAATAAACAAAACTGAGAGTTCAACGATATTGCTTTTAAAATTTCGGATTATAATATAACATTTATACATTTTTTTCCAGATCCAGCTTCAATTCGAACGATTTGAACTGGACAGTCCGAACGATTGTGAATCGAATTTCGTCGAAGTATTTTCCAACGATACCATCAACTCGAAGAAAAAGTTTTGTGGTTCGATAGCCGATACAGTTTTATCGGACACCAGTCACAATGTGTTGATTGTACGGTTTTATTCACAACATTTTCGAAATAAGACAACTTTTGCTGCCAATTTTACGGCCTTTAGGGAGTACACAAAAGGTATATATTTGATTTTAAGTGATTTGATATGTTGAATGTAATTTGTTTTAGAAAAATCGAAAACGAAAAATTGTGCAGACGATGAGTTCGATTGCGACGATGCCACTTGCATATCAGCCGGCTTAAAGTGTAATGGAGTTTATAACTGTAGATTTAGGTGGGACGAGGATAACTGTAATGTAAGTATAGCTCGAAAAGACAAATTATGTAAAATCATTCTTCAAGTAAGTTCGAGGAAAATGAGGGAAATAGATAATTGGCCATTAAAAAACGTTTAAGGGTGATTTTGAATGATTTATGAAAATAATTTTTTCCAGTTGATAGAGTTTTTTTGATTGGGTACTAAATTATTGAGGAAAGAGCTTTATGGGTTATTTGCTTTCTATTACTGATATTACTCTGCAGTTAGAGATCAAGTTTTATTATACCGCAATGTTTCGGTTGGTTAATTTAAATAATATGTAATATATACAATGTGTCCGAGATAAGGAGGGCCAGTATGGGGATCTCAGAAGTGGTAAGAGATACGACGTCACTTAAATTTAAGAAAAGTTGCAGAATTTTGTGCTCACTAAAATGGCGCTTTGATGTTTTAAAAATTCCGGGTGCTACCGGAGATATCCGGAAAAAACCGAAATTTAGCAAAATCGATTTTATTCAAAAGCTTATTTGAGGAGATATTTCAAAATAATAGTCACTTCTGTTGAATCTACATTTGATTGAAGCCGTCACTGTTCAATAAACAACTCAATAACCACAAAAACATTAATAAACTCAAAAAAAAAAAAAAAAACTAACAAGAAAACTACATTATGGACTCCGAGCACCGCTCTCCTCTCGTTGCCTTCCACGTCGACCAACTGACTGACTAATGACAGTTCTCTAATAAGGAAGCAGCGTAAACAGCTGACTCCAGTGGCGGGCAAGTCGTTGAGTCTTGTAGTCGACCACAGCTACCCTTCTTGACGTCCTCGCCAACCTATCAGAACAAATACACAATATTAGTTAGGTATAACGAACAACTTGTGTTTTACGATTATCTGTCTTAAATCAACTGACCAATTTACAATATTGCTGGAAGCGCAATGCAGTAATAAGTTTTTATCACACGCCTTTATTGGCTCTGAAGCTGAAGCTACAACTCCCACGCAATGCTCTTGAAAATCTGTTCTTTTACTTTTATAGGTAACTTCTTTGTTTACAGAGAAAACGTTTTCCTCTCCAACCACTTTGACTTTTTGTGTTCTTACTTTATTGTATAACTTTGCCTTTCAGCATTCGATTTTGAGAAAGTTTGTAACTGATCAGAAATGTTTTCTGCTGGAAGAACTTTTTCCCACCATCCATGTACGCGTATTGTATTTCTTCGGAGAAATCTTCAGTTATTTTCAATTTTCCTGGTCTTACACTCTCTGCCGATATCTCATGTCCCAAATAATCAATGGCTTGTCGAAAAAATAATAATATTTAGTCATGCGTAGGGTAAGTCCAGCGTTACTAAATACTTCTAAGATTTCTGATAGAGCTCTGTATCCATCGTCAAAGTCAACCGCCGGAATCAAGATGTCATCCATGTAGGCCAGTGCTGTTTTAAATCCTAATGATCCCAGAACTAGGTTAATACTTCGCTGAAATACAGCTGGAGCATTTGCTAATCCAAATGGCATTCGTGTATACTCATAATGCCCATCCGGCGTAATGGATGCTGTTTTTGCTCTAGACTCTGCTGCCATCGGTATTTGGAGGTAGCCTGAAGCCATATCAAGTGACTTGCGTCCTCTTAAACGTTCAAGATGATCATCTATTCTTGATTGCGGAAATACGTCCTTAACCGTTTTTGCATTCAACGCTCGGCAGTCCACGCACATACGCATCTCCTGTTTTCACATTTACAATTTTTTTATCTTGTAAACACGGCTTTTCCTTTTGTAAAACCATTTTCTTCACGAACACTCTGTTCTAGGGAATATTTTCCTTTTGAAGAAACGTTTTCTTCATGAACACTTTGTTCTTGGGAGTCGTTTCCCTGTGAAGATACTTTTTCTTCATGATCACGTTGTCCATAGGAAACGATTTACACATCCTCCGATTCGGAATCTTCTGTATCAGTGTCCAGTCTGATATTGAATGTCTTCGAACGATCTACAGCACATTTTCCTCTGTATTTCTTTTGACATCTCTTTGAACCGGGCAAATCTTCTATCACATATCGATCTCTGCCTAAATCAGCTGTCACAATGTAAGATCCGTCATACTCAACTGAGAGCTTTTTACTTTGCCGTTCATTTGATGCTACATTTTGTCTCATCATAACTTGTTGTCCAATATCATATATATTTGCGGTTCTTCAATCTATTTGCATCATAACTTTCTTTTTTTTTGTTTGATCTTGATCAATGGCGGCTATCGCTTGAACCCTTCGTTTCTCTAGTTCATTTACTCTATCATCATTCGTTAAAAATGAATCTACTTTTCCCCTTGTTCAGTATCCAAATATTAATTCGTGAGAAATTTTTCCAGTAGTTTTTGAAAAAGTAAAATTTATTCCAAACTTTATTCTTGTTAAAAACTCGACCCATTTCCTTCATGATCTGTCATTGATCTTATTCCTGTTAGGGAAGTTCTATTATATCTTTCGACTTGCAAATTCGCACGAGGTGTTGCTGTAGCATTTTGAACTAATTTGATATTGAACTTCGTATGAATTTCCTTTGCAACTTTTCACAAACGGACCTAAATGATCCAGATGTAATGGGTCCATCGGAGCTGCAATTTTCTCTATTGGATGCAGAACATCATGACGTTTTCCAGATGGTTCTTTTTCATAAGCACACCTTGAACAACTCTGTATATATCGTGAATCATACTTGCGCATCCTGGGAAACCAGTAATTTTGAGAAATTGCAGACAAAGTTTTCCCTAATGCAAAATGGCCAGCTGAGTCATGATAGTGAAACGTAATAGCTGTTCTTACTCTTTTTGGTACCATTCACTTATTACCATCTTTTTTAATTTTAAAAATACGGTTGTCTTTTAGAACATATTCCTTGGGAATATTTTTCTCTTCTGCATCCTTCGGGCGTTCCGAAAGGACCTGATGAAGATATTTACAGCGATCATCCGACAATTGAGAAGATAGTATTGAATAAGACTCAGTAATATTTATAGCTAGAACATCAGTACCTTCTACATCAGCAGGTTCATTAACGGGATGTCTGTTTAGGGCATCTACGTGTGCCAGGTAATCAACCACCATCTAGCTATTCTTGGTATCAGATCTTCCTTATAGTCTAAGAGCCCGTGACACAAAAGCCTCAGTCATCTGTTAGAAGGCCATTTTTTGGTGGCCCGGTATGCCAAGTCCTCGGTCAACTAAAAAACGTAATGGTTGGCAGGTTTCGGTGTGCAGAAACTGAGTGGTAGATGTATTTTCACTAACCCAAAATAAGGCTTTCTACCTTATGAGTCAGAAGCTTTTTTCTTGTTGTGAATAAATAATATGGACCTACTGAGGCCTGAACAGGAGCGGTTGGCGGGCCTTCCTCCTCTCTTCACCATGCCCACCGCGTTTTAAGTGAGATTCCCAAGGGAAGTTTCTACCTTGCAAGTCAGAAGGACGAAAAAAGGTGGAAATTATACATTTCCACTTCCTCATCCGTTCTGCGCTGGGTTGACAGCCGGTTGACGCTCTATTGTTTATTTAAACATATTATTATGTTTTTGCGAAATTGAAGTTTTTTTTTTCCTCGCTATAATTTGAAGACATAGTGGAGGTTTTTTCAAATCAAATCAAATCAAACACACTTTTTAATTTAACTGCTAAATATTTTGGGAAATTGGAGAAAAAAAAAAAATATATCAGAATTGCCTCAAATTGGACATAAACATACTTTCAGGGGCGGCCAGGAAGGGGGCGCGCGCCTCCCTGAGAGTCTGAAAATCTACTCGAAAGAGTTTTGATTAAAACATTTGAAAAAAAATACATACTTATTCAGAAAAAATTTCCAAGAATTTTTCAAAAAATTTTATAGAAAAAATTTCCAAAAAAAATGTCATAGAAAAAATTTCGAAGCTGACATCATTGTTCAATTTTTCGTTTGAATAGGTATTTTTATTATTTTCCGTTTTCTGATATTATGTACTTACTGGGTACAGGGTGGTCCAATTTGATATACCACCAACCGGTTTGTCGCTAGAGGGCGTTTCTCGATTTTGAGCAAAACTGTGAAAGCTTTATAACTTTTTTAAGTACGTCATTGGATTCTGCTTGAAAAAGTACCTCTAGAAATTTTATACCTACATAAATCAATTATTTTCATAAATAAAAAAAATAAAAAATATTTGTGCAGTTCACACTCAATAAACTAAGCTGAGAGAGAATGAAATACACAAACTAGGTACAACGCTTGGTAGACAAGAGTGGGGAGGCTACGAAGCGCCGCACAAAAAGGAGACGAAGAATAGGGAACGCTGTACAAAAGTATTCCATCTTATTCTCTAGCCGGCTAAATCCCATAGATCTTATGTTTGTCTCTTTTCAGTGTCGCTTTTTCGTTTTATCGAGTCGAGTCTCAAATCACTCCCAACGATTCTGAAGAAGTTTTCACTTCAAAAGTGATAAGATTTCACAGTATTGCTCAAAATCCAGAAACATCTGTAATGAAATTTGATTAGCATACCGGGCCACCAAAAAACGGCCTTCTAGCAGATGACTGAGGCTTTTGTGTCACGGGCTCTCGTAGTATTACTAAAAGTGCCTTCTACTGAACTACAATGAGTGACTACTTTAAACTGGATTCCTAGAAGGTAAACACGAAATCGCTGCATGAAATTAACGACGGCTAATGTCTCAAACTCGAAGGAATGATACCGCTGCTCTTCCTTGCTTGTTTAACGACTATAATACAACACAGGTTTCAATTTGTTATCTTGTTGTTTCTGTAACAATATGCCACCTAGTCCCCATTTCGACGCATCTGTGTGTTTCTCAGTCTCTAAATTGGGATCATAAATAGCTAAAATGGGTCGAGTACACAGTATTAGTTTGAGCTGTCGCAGAGAATCTTCTTGAACCTTATTCCAATAAAATGTTTCAGTCTTTTTAGTAAGTGTGGTTAATGGTCTTGCGATATGTGCGAAATTATTGACAAATTTCCAAAAATAACTGGAAAGTCCTAAA